TTACCAGCTTTACACATTTTAATCGAAATCTGTATATGCTGAATCTAAAGTATGTATGACAGTTGCGCTTTTTTATTGGATAAGAGTATTGCATAGGAGTATGACATGAAATGTACACATAAATGTCACACAAAAGCAATAAAGTTTGGTTTACAACCTAACTTCACGTAGTGTATGATAATCAAATCTAATTGTTCCCACATTTTTGTTTGAGTTACTCAGAAGACTACATATCTACATCAGTTCAATCGTCTGGTTGCTTTATGTTGGTTGAAGAAGGCCTGTTAACTTTTGCAATTTTACTTCTATCATTAAAGCTGTGAAAATATCAAATAACATCGGTGACAGTTGTCGTCTGTCACTCGCCGGCTGAAATAATAATAATTCACCGTAAAGTCTTTGGGTTTCGTAAGTTCGAGTAGACAAGCCTAGAGAGAGTTAGACAGAAAAGTACTTGATGCGTGCATAAACGTAGAAAGACTAACAACTGTTGTTTTATTAGATTTTCTTCCATCAACACTTACGAGATTCAAACTAGCTGTGGTAAATAATTTGTGAGGACTGGCCACAAATTTTAAGGCAAGCATACTGTTGAACTTATTCAGTTTGAATTATAGGCAGTTATTTTGTCACGTACTGTAACTCAGGGTAATCTTTCATAATTATATGAACAGATTCCATCAATTACTTATGAAATAACTAACCACAAGTTGTTGACTTATCGTCGTAAACACATACTTTATCATCTGTCTTGTCCCTCCTTTTCACATTCACTAAGCACAAAGTTTTCAATAGATTGAAATTATCATTTTCTTGTTGATGACACAACCAAACTAGTCCATTCAGAGTTTGAAACATCCATTCTAGTGGCATTAACTAACCTATTCTAGAGACTTCAACCTATTCAGTCCCTAACTTAACAATATCATTCTTTCCAAATAAATTATGGATTTTATTTAACTCTTTTCGAAAGGTTGTACTTGGATAGAATTATATAAATCAAACTTATACGGAAATGTATTACTGAACTTGAAGCTTATCGACGTAGGTAATTTTTATTATGTAGGGGTACTAATAAACCTCATTGCTTACAATATATAGAGGTGATTTACTGCTTTTGAATTTAAATTTCATCATCGTAAATATTTCTGATAACGATTGCAAGAGTTTAATGAACATTCTTCATATTAACAGCTTGACAATAAATTAAGAAACACCGCTGCATGCTGACTCAGTGTGGTTAAGGGCTCGCATGAGAGACCGAAGGTCCTAAGTCTGATTCCTATTCGCTGGGTCGTGAATACGCATTGCTGATGAGTCCCATACTAAGATGAAATGGCCATCCAATGGTGGTCTAACATTGATCAGTTCATGGTTTCAATAAGATTCTAAAGGGATTGCGTTCCTTCATGGGGCTTAATAACATATAAATTAATACCTTCGATTTTGATAAACCAAGGGTCTTTATAATAGTCTACTACAGCCACTATTTTGTGACACTGGTTATCCATTACCGTTTATTTTTGTGCCTATAAATATGTCATAATTACTGGACACCAACCTAGTTTAAGGCGCTTGGTTATGCATGTACAATGGGCTACGTTTGGATAAACCATGCTTTACACTCCTTATGATAACTATTAGTCTTAAATTTCATACACTAAGGTACATCGACCTTTAGTCCAAATATACGTACACATCTTTTCATACTTGACCTCTAGCTTTGTTGGCTGTGGGATTGTTGTTACAGCTTCTCACTTGCAGTTCGGGAATTATCCCTGGAAATATGTCACTAATGAGAATATGAAAAACCGTAACCAGTAGAGCTCAACAGTGTTGAATAGCGAGCAGTTACTTATCAACGACATGAGAAAATGGTTATGCAATATCGTGAATCAGTTAACATAGGAAATGCCAATCATTAGATGCTGGATTAAACCACTCGCTGCAAATCCTGAAAGTACTGGATTCGACCTCTGATGGTAGTTCCATACTAGGATCATTCAAGGATGTTAACTATGAAATTCAACAATCTACACAAAACTTTACGCAGTCAAGAGAAGTTGAATACGTATTCAGCATAAATAATTCTGTATTAATACTAACGGGAATAGGGATAGGAGAGAAATCTCCTTGTACATACAAAAAGGAGACAGATCAAAAATAATGTACTAGAAAAATGGAAACGATCATATCTCACACAGAATATCTAGGTACATAAGTAGATCTAATACAACTACCTACTCTATGATTCGTATGTGTGTATGTATGTGTGTGTAGTATTACATCAGCAGACATGTTGTCATGCTTTTTTAATTGTTAGGTCCATATATATATATATCTTCATTACATATGTCCAGAATTGATTGAAAAATAAGAACCTATTAACACAGTAATCATAACTACAGGTAAATGATATAATGTTGCTCGAAATAGACGTCTTGCAGCTGCAGCACTTCCATCAGCTCCAGTAACATTTGAATGGGAATTGGCAAATTTCCATGCATAATAAATCAAGCCAATATTAGCTGGTAATGAACCGATGCCTAATGCACAACCAGCCCATGGTCCTAAACTAATAGCACTGCAACCAGCGCCAGCTAAACAAACTAAACTTGATGCAATTGCATAGCGTAAAGCAACTCGTTTGCATAAATCCGGATTGATGATAGATGTCATGATATAGCCAGCTTTAGAATATTCATTACGCATATTCCAACTGAGTGCCATAAAATGTGGAAATTGCCATACATAGAGCAAACATGCTAGCATTATTGAACCTAAATGAGAGAGAGAGAAAAAAAAGTGAAGAAAAATCTGAATAAATCATAGTATATCATAGGACAGTAGCTTTCAGTCATAAATCGTTGTAGAAGTCAAAGACCTACACATAATTGTAATCAATCATGCTTGAAGTCAAATAAGTAAGCCACATATTGACCCTAATCTCCATTACCACTAATACTTCTACTACCTACTACTACTACTACTACTACTATGGGATTTGAGCCGACCATTCGATTTCTGTGCTAATGTGATATGGCAACTTGAACTGACGTACGTACGTAGCTGACTGAGGCCACATATTGATTGATTAGTCAAGAAAATCGATAAATTTCGCAAGCAATAAACACGACGTCAATATCATACTATCTAAAAGAGTTTTCGTTACACACACACACACAGACAATGTCTGAAACATATCAAGGCGAGTATATGTATAAGTTAGCATTATTGAAGGAAAAGAATGTTCCTAAGGATTTTCTGTTGTAGATACTGATTGACTGGTCTGGAATACTTCTTTAACTAAATGACAATAAAAGTCAATGTGGAAGCACCGCGAGACAAGAAACAGACACACTCACAATCATAGATATGATTTTTATATAGGCGGTTTGTGCAGGTTTGTATAACTTAAAAGTAGTTTTAATCATCGATTAACAAGTGACATATAGAAAGTTCTTTACGTGCAAGTTTAGGATTCCATACGAGGTCAAAATAGTTACCCAATGATAACATTAGACAACGGTATGATGCTATGCTAGAAACTGAACAGAGTTAGAAATGTGTCTTGTGCTTATTGAAAGCCAAAAGTTCTGAATTCAATGCGTTGGAGTCATGGATGCAGATACCAAGCAGGATGAAACAGCATTTTAGGGCTCTTGAATTCAGTAGTTGCTGAGGTGAAATCGACCGGTGTGAAATTCATTATCCAGGTTCTTTCTATACTAGAAGCAGCGTTTTATCCGTCAAATGTTTTGTCATCGCCTAACGTTAAGTGAAGTGATGACTATGTATTTAAGATATCCGACTTTCAGCTACTGTGTATCAAGTCCAAACTGCAGTTGGTCTAATTCAGTCTAAGTAACCAGATAGTCTCACTAACCCCTGCAGCTAAGTACATGAATCTGTACCCGGTAAATAAATAAATAATTAAAATATGTCAGTTCGAGTGTCACATATTTTTCGCACTCATTATCAGTGTACCAAATGACGAAAACTATACAAATAAAAACTATGTATATGCGAATATAACCTTACCACACTGTAATTGTCCAGTAGCTGCAGCCCAACCCATCAATGGAGGTATAGCACCAACCCAAGCTCCAATCCATGTATTAATCTGACTAACTTGTTTCAATGGTGTGTATATACATGTATACAATAACATATTCACAGCAGCCAATGAAGCAACAAGAGGATTTACACCGAAATAAAGCAATGATAGTCCAGATCCAGCACAAGATAGGGCAAAAAGAGCTGCTTTACCAGGTCTAAAAGTTTTAAACAGAAATTGGGGATAAAAAAAAGGGGAGACTTTTCAACTACAATTCTATTGTCCGTGAAGAGATGTTAAATTAGAGTATGGTCTATTTTATAAGGGACTAAAAGTGATCAGTTTGTAAATGAGGTAAGTGTATTCAGAGAAGAATGACACAGCCATAAACTTTTCGGAACTTCAACTAGTGTCTATCTAGAAGTGAAATACTGGACGGGGAAATAGAAACCGCTAACAACAAAAATTCGTACTCGTTGGCTATCTTGACTCAGTGAATGCGAAAGTTCAAACCCTCTTTGTGTATATTCAAAAACAGTTTGTTCTCACTGTAACTCAACCTTGGTGATAATGTGTTATTATTATTATAATTATTCGATAAACTTCGTCTTCTCATTACATCATCCAAATTTATCAAAGGGATTAATTGCTATAAAATTCAATAGATAATAAATTAATTCTGTGAAAACGATAAACATGTCTACTTAACTGAGTGATAATATCTAGCAGGGGGTTTGTAAATTATTACCTGCAACCACTTATAAATATGATTTATTCGTGTTCATCATAAAATGTATTTGGACAAACTTGACTGATTAACAATATAGATCAACATACTAGGATGATATCTTCTGTTCCCATAACTCCGTTAGTGTTTCGGTCAATTTATTAAACAATTTCTAATGGCCATCCCCAAAGTATTTTGAATTCAGACTACCATGTTCAATCAGCTTACCTCGTTTGAGGTTGTTTGGTTGTTCAATGGGATTTGAGAGGCTGGTCCTTATGATTTACTTAGATTACAGGTAAATATCAGTCAACTAGAACATAATTTTAGGTTAAGTTGGATTTTTTAAATGTTGATTCAGACATCGCATCGATCTATTGTGATATGCAGTCTACAAACCCGTCATCTGTGACGACAGCCATACTGTCTGTAAATGTAAGTGATGATTGACTGACATTTTTTACGTCTATAGTTAGTGTAGGACTGGAAACGAATGATTCTATCAGCATGAAATGATAAATGATCTCTATTATCGACCTGTCATCATAAGATTACAGGAATGTGATCTCCAGATGTCTCTATTTCTTTTATTAATTGTGAATCTAAGTTTTCCATTTAGTACGATTATGTCTGTATGTGCTTTACCTATTAAAGGTAAAGCATATGTGTTCTAACAGTTATACATACTAATAATAGTGTTGAAGAGAAAGAAATCCATTTGACACAATAAAGTGCATAGAAGCTAATTTATTTGTATTTGTTCAATGATAAAATAATACGGGTTTAGAAAAAAAATATGAAGAAACCAACTCACGTAGTTAAACCACGAACAAGTACACGGTTTCGTGTACGCGTCATTTGGCTGTCGTAAGGAATTTCAATAATCTATGGAAAAGGGAAATGGGTCTAGTTGAAATATATATTTTTTTTAATTGATAAAAAATAATCTAACAGCAATATTTACTAGTAAATTCTGGAATAAGCACTTAATTGGTTGAATATGGGACTTTATGACTGTAGCATAGTTTCTACTAAGAACAAACACTACATTTACACAAGCCACTATTTGAAAAATTAAAAAAATACTATTCAGTGGTAGTAACATATCAGAGACTATGAAACTGAATGATGAAGATATGAATCTCATGGGGAACATTAAATCCCATAATAACGCGGACATACCTTCTTGGTGATTCCTAAACAGCACGAAACTTGAGTATAACAATCTTTCTTGCCGAACACCTTAACAACATCTTGGTGGTTATCAACACTACTCAATTACTTACTACATAAACCAAACTGCTCCAATTCATAAGCTGTATTCATCACAGGTTGATCTCAGTTGGATTACCATTGAAAAATATGGGACAATGGACAGCAGTTTTGTCCCATCATATAACGACACTTCAGTAATATACACTTTTGACTTCGTCAGTAATCGGATCGAGATCAAGAACCATCAGACCTTGCACGAAAGCCTAAGTTAATCAGTTTGATTAAAAACCAATTTGACAAGTGTCTTTACGCTCTGAGGTATACAATTTCATACTGATATATACTTTTCCTATACACTAGCCTAACAGGCTACTCCAGTGAAAAGACTGAAAGTGAGAAAGGAAGTTCATCGATTAACCGAGTCGACATGTATACTCTTCCATACGTCTCCATCTTTTAGAAGACCAATGTTCCAATATGGTAGGTCTCATTTTTAGCTAATCACGGGCACTTATCATTTAGTCGATTTCGGACTGGCTCAACATATGATCTTTCCTCTCTGAATATAAGTACAGCATTCCGGGTTCAAATAAAAATGTCTCTTTAATGATCTTCTTGCGGTCTAGTTGTTACTTCTGCTGCTCTGGATTGGTTGCTCATGACTAACTGTGTCGACAAGGAAATCTAATTGTAGGTTGGATTTAGGCGGTTCCTTGATTAACTTATGCTCGCCAGGCTGCATGCTGTTTATGTGTCGTGTCAGATATTTCCCATGGACATTAGCTTCACAAAGCAAGTCTGTAACTCTTCCTAAGATGACACCAGCTATCTAGATAGGCCCAACTGTCGAACTGTTTTGTACATATTTGTGACTCGTCTTGAGGTTGACGTAGTGCTTCGAACCTCCAGTTTACCAACCTACTCTACTTTCTCTGGACACATGGAACTTATTTGATCAATTTGTGCCGATCTGTCAATTTTTAGAAATCTTTCTGATGAAGTTGCGTGGATAACGACGTCGAGTTTTTTTGTTTATCTGATACTATAATACATAAATCTGAACTGATTTGCTTGAAGAGAGCAAATTCGATACCGTGTATTTAACAAATTCAACTCCAATTTTCGAGTACTTAGAAACATCAAAATAAGCTATAGTCTCTTTCAATCAGAAGATAAAAGAATTTAATTAAATAAATCTTACCTGATTAATTGAATTTGCAGCGGAACTGGTTAGTGTAGTTCCAAGAGCTAGACAAGCTGTAGTAGAATAACAATGTTCTAGGAATTCAGGTGATACCATACTAGTCGATGCTGCCAAACCACAACCGACTAGCGCAGTTGAAACGACTAAACCTGTAAGACGAGCCTTTGAAAGACCTGCAGCAATCGATCCATAATGTTTGGAAAGTAGGACAGCAGGTGGTTGAGTTAAGACCAGATCCATAGTAGTTGAGCATGATATTGACGGTGAGAGTGATGATGTCGTTACTAGTGGAATAAAAACCAATTTATTAATTGAATTATTTTCAAATGAGTGAAATGTTTCAGATACTACTGTTATTTCAACTGATTTCATTTATCTTCATGTAATAGTGTGTAATAGGACAATAAATAACAGAAATTTGTATGATAAGTTACAAGTTTAAGACCTAAATCACTTTAGTTTGTTTAGTTCCCGATCGTAGCTGCTACCTTGATGTGGTGGTCGGGCTTGCCTATCGTGATGACCCAACCGAGCTATACTGGCTGGAACACATGTTCCTGCAGGTCCTACCATGCCAGGCAGGTCGATTGGAGAACGATGAGACTAAAAGCAGCTACCCAAGGTCTGAAGGCGAAGTCGTACTGCTGACTGTAGACGGGTGTGACAGCAGTAAGGTGTTTCCCTCGGACAACCAGCATCTGCAGCGATGCTGCCTTCTCACAAGGAAGGAGGCGTTAGAAAAGGTCGACCCTAAAAATGTCACACCCCACCCTACCTCACGGATTTCCGTCTCCGGCGGTAAGGGTGCCCCACTAAGGGCCTTTAAGAGCGGAGCTAATCCTCAAAAAACCTTTCAGACCTCCTCCAAAAAGCTAGGCGCTCTGATATAGTATTAATGGCTGGTGACTTTAATGCTCAAGTAGGTAGACTAAGTGAAAATGAAAGACACCTAGGTGGATGTTATGGTGTCGCGGCTCAGAGGACAGACAATGGTGACCGTCTGTTGCAAGTATGCTCAGACAACCGCCTATTCTTAGCAAACACTAACTTTAGGCATAAGGAAAAACATCTCTTGACCTGGCGACCTCCTAAGTCGTCTCAACATTGGACTCAACTAGATCACATTGCCATCAGCCACCGATGGAGGGGTTCTATAGAGGACTGTCGCTCGTTCTGGAGCACATGTCTAGATTCAGATCATGCCCTAGTGCGAGCGCGTATTTGTTTGAAGCTTACTGGGCGTAGGAAAGACACCGTAAGAAAGCCTCTTAGGGCTTTACTTAATGATAATCAATCAATTTCAGGAGGAACTAGAAAAACAGTTAGGCGGCCATGCAAGTGATTCCCATCCGGAGGCAGGTTGGAATGATATCAAGAAGGCTGTGGAAACAGCAGTGATATCTGCTAGTAAGGTTGACCATAAGGCTAGAATGGAGCCGTGGATCTCAGTAGCATCCACCGATCTGATGGATGCCCGAAAACTCATCCCACCTGGCTCTGAACATGATGAAGAACGATGTCAGCTTATTAGCACGCTGATATGGCAACATGAACTGATGTACTTACGTACGAAGTTCTACGTTGCATCTGACTGACTGACTGAGTTTGTTTAGTTGTATAATATCACAAGGTATCACACACAACGCGTGGCTCAAAGTAGAGGATATGAACCCTCAGTTGGTAAATGAATTATATGCACCTCAGATCCTAGATTGTGACCAGTTCCATTATACATAAGGAACACAATAAAATCGATGATTATCAGGATATTTCTTACATATAATTCATTGAATGTTACAAATCAATTGAGAGAATGATAAAATAGACATAAATTAAACGGAGTCAGAATTTTAACATTACATTCCTCTGGCATTACTTACCTTGGTCAGTTGATGAATCATGTAACTGATGTGGCAGTAATTCAGACTGTGGATCTGACTCAGGTTTCTCATCCTAGACAATGGTAATAAACAGATTAAAAATAAACCACTGACATGAGAACTAAGAAAATTTGTTCCGTATTTATGCGACATTCGTAAACTATACTCAGTTTAAAACACGATGTTTGAAAAGATTACACAAATCACATAATTTTTAGAATATTATCGATTTAATAAATGGTATTACAACGCTAGAATAAACATACTATAGTATACAAATGATGTGAATCAGTTACTATCAGTGTAGGAGTTAAGGTGTGAATAAACGAAGGTTTGCCACAGTGAACTCAAAAATACTAGCGATGAAATCGATAGGACAAAAAGTAAAGAAGATGAATCAGTCTAAATAGTGGAGGTCGAAGAATAACATCAAATCCTGAATTTAGAGGAAGACAGAATAAACGTAAATGAGACCTAAATCAAATTTCTGATTATTGTTCATAATTATTGAAGAAACCTTAATCAGGAAGTTTGCACCTAATGATTTTCCTAAAAGATACTGCCGAATTACTTTGAGGTTTTGACTCATTTTAGCCAATTAGAAAGTAACAAACATAAACGAATGAATTATATTACAAAATTAATGCATTAAAAAAAATAATAATATTTTGTTTGTATATGATGAGTTGACTTTTTGAAGTTTGATCATACTCTTATAACTGACAGTCTGTGGTCAAAGCGAGATTCACGGTTAATTTATACATATCGTATTCATTAATGAGTTGAAATTAGGTTTTTCAGTTGATCTATACGTACTCTATTCCTAACTTCAAACCTTAAAATGCTTTAAAATATAAAGATGTGAGTAGATTATTTCAAATGTATGGTGTTTCATTTAGATTCACTTCGTCTTCCTTATTGAGCTATTCAAGTGTACATTTAAAATATCTAGGATAACTAGTGCAGATAACAAGTATTGGAAAAGAACATTGTCAGATTGAAGAAAGTTTACTTACTTATACCTGTTATCCTTCTTGGAGCATACACCACTAACAGAGCTTTTTTTTAGCAAGTTTGTATTAAATAGGGGGGTTGTTAACCCTATGTTTAACCCTCCTCCTTTATTCTGGCTTAGAAGTCAATGCAAACCATGTGATGACCTATCGTAGAAATTATCTATGCTGATAAAAATCCTCCGAAAGATTCCTTATAAGTCTCAAGACAGCTTTGATAATTGTTATACGATGCGATGAAACGGAATTCTGACCAGTGGGACATGTTGTTTAACTTGATTTCTGGTTGGAATACTGAAGGGTTCAAAATCTAGTTCGGAACAGTTTCAGAAAATTGAGAGCCATGTTACACGCTCCACTTGTAAATACTGGCTATATAACGAGGAGATGAAGCCAGAAAGGAACAGTCGACAACGCAAGATAAATTATAGTGATAAAAACAGGTACTAGTCTTAGTGACAGTACACGAGCAGTATATGCTTCTCAGCTGTCTACAGTCCGGAGGGTTATCTCTTCTTTATAAGACCTTAAACGAGTCCGAATTAATATTAAGAACCTAAAAGCAGAGCTTAATGGGAACACGCTCAAAGCCAGATACAAACAGAATTACGATGATCCACTCCATTAATGTAGTAGCCATGCGTAGGACTTACCATTTCTCTAGATGAAAACGAACAGCTCTTAGAATTCATAGTGAGTTGTGCTTAGTCACTGAGACAAACTTACCGGCTAATATTATTAAGCCAATTTGTACTAGTCTGATACTACCTCGAACGTCCTATGCTAGTAATGGTACAAAACAATCTGAGAAGCGACTATCCTGAAAGATGAATGAGATGTTTTACTGCACATTTTTGAGATTCGTCAAAATTTATCTAACCTCGCAACTAAACTCATATATAACTTCAAACTTCGGCAATATATGGTTAGAATAACACCGACCTAGTCTACTGACAATCGATAAAGCCAAAGTTAACGAAATATTCTTGCAATAAAGTGAAAGTCAGTCATGATTTAGTGTCAAACATATAGTTTTAAATAAGATAACTTAAACATTAACAAACACAAAGAACCTGTTTGGATGTGATCTTAAAAATTATCGTTAAATAAATGATATCCATTTCGCTGATACATCTGTGCTTTGATAAATGAAAAACATATATATATATATATATATATATATATATATATATATAGCACTTACCGAAGTTACTTTTAGTTGAGAACAGGTCGACAGTTCTTTTCCATTAAAATTTCTCTTATGAAATTTGGGTGAAGTAGCTATAGGTAACTGACAACACGAATATGTCAAAAATGTAGTAGGCGAACATAGAGACAGGGATCGATGAGTTTTAAGAAATAATGTGATTCGCAAACATCGAAGTTTGTTTATGAAAGGCATTCGGATGAAACAACAAAATATCAATGAGAACTGGAATTACAACAGTCTTCCAGTAGTATTTGGGATAAAATAGGAACTCGAGGATCTATATCTGTATGCCGATCACGTGAATTACAGTACTGACGAGCTATTTGGATGATCACAGGAAATCTAGTATCCAAAGAGATAGAATCTCCTGAATTCGGACAACGGGTAAACAAATGTACGAGAATAGTTAAAGAATGTACAACAACTGAAGGGTCTGGAGACGCAGCACAAGCCACAACACAAGGTAAGTGTATATGATTGAGAATTTCTTGTCGACTTAGGGGTGATGAAGCTGAAAGATTAGATAAACCTCCAAGGGCAAAGTCAACTAAACGAACTTTGCCTTCATCGACTTTCAAATCTGATCTGGATTGGAAGGCTGAAATACAAAAATATGTCAGTATAAATAAAACGAATTTTGTTTGAAACATTGGAATGTTAATTTTCCCCAATATTAAAATATTAACTGTTTCGAATAGCGTATGATTGTTACTGTTTAGTGTTAGCAAATTGAGAAAAACAACATGACGTTCATACGTGTATGAAAATTAGTAAAATGTATCTCTGGTAATATAGAACACTTCTTTCCTTATTCAGACTAACACTACAGGTCTTCCCTACATATAGCTCATCATAGAGACTGAGAGTTGATCAGCCATAAGCAACGTACAACTTGGCATAAATGTGTATTGCTACGAAACTAGATTAAAGGTAAAACATTTGACGTGAGAAAATAATTCTGAAACTCATAATATAAGGAAAGACAAAAGTGCTTCTGAACGGCTGCAATAGATAAAGGCCGGTTGAGCAACCGCAACACGTGTCCAAATCACCTCATTTATTAGGGATTTGCAACCAATTTGCTATCCTTACCTAGTGTCCTGAGTTCAATCATACATACACAATGTTTAGTGAACACTTACGATAAAATACCAGTAACCTACGGATGTGCTCTACTTTCGAAACACGTGTCATAGCATTAAAATAACACATAGTGGACTGCTGAGTCGTACGCTTAACTTTTGATTGTTGGACGTATACTCTGTTTATACTACGAATGAATTCAAGCGAGCTTTCTAATTCTATACCGATATTTCGCTAGGCTCCAACTCATCATGATCGATGAGAATACTCAAATAATTAGACGATGCAGTTAAATACCTCCTATCATTAGTTTAGAAGTTGGCCCAGACAAATTCATAGAAAACTCGCTGAATCGATATTGAGATCCCGCCAGGAAATACTGAGAGGTTTGTATCAGTATATACAACTTGGAATTAATCTAGACGTAGTATAAACCGCACTCCCTAGAAGCACGACTACGATACATTGCAATCAATAATCAGAACTAAATATTCTGCTAGTAATCACCCGTGTTTTAAACATGATATCGCACTGCACGCCAACTAACAGGTATGGTCATATCAATACAAACTAACAGAAGATATATTGTTTGAAAAGACATAATTAATTTCAACTGAACTTTTTTGACAAACTTATAAAGAGTAGGTACACAAACAGAGGTGAATTCATTTGAAATTATAGACTTAGTGACTGTAAACCAAAATGGTGACAGCGTTGAGTAAGTGCATGACGAAGCCAATAACAGTTTTGCTATGAAATATATGATACCATGCGTAAAACTGTGTCCTCACTACATCTATTTGAGTAGTCTTGAGGTAGAGGAATTTAGTGTTTAAATATATCAGACAATGAAAGCCTATATATATATATAACTTACCAGTCTTAAACCATACACTTGACGGTTCTAAAATGCAATCGAAAAAGAGATCAACGACGCGCAGCTGGCGGAGCTGTGGGCCGTTTCGAGAGTCGTAGCAGAAATTTGCAAGATTGGCTAAAATCTAAACAATAGAAACTAACAAGTACAAACCTGCTCTTTGTGTTCCGTTATCTCCGTTTGTTGATACTCGTCAACCAAATTCTGTAAGTACTGAAGACGACCGAAGCTTCCAGGCAGAGATCTATTATTACTTCTACGTTGATTTATGCTCGAGAATTTACGGTTCTTCTTAAAAACCATGTGACCTCAAGACATGTGGCGAAAACCCCATACATAGCGCCTGCGTTGACAAGTAATTTTATACTAACTTAAGAAAATGATAATGGATATTGCATATTGGACGATCCAGCATGATCACAAAATGCACTCATATTCAGTGAGCATCGAATATCCAGTATTTTTTCAAGAGCTATAATAAACCGATTGATTTCTTTACACTCACCTCTTGTTGTCTCGTAACCGTTCCACGTTACTGTTTAGGATAGAATTCAACGACCATCAGTAATCACATAAACTCAGATTAGGAGAGTCCCGAACTGACATGCAGATTTTTAACTAAATGACTGAACTTTTGAGCTCGCTTCTTCATGCTTTGGAACAGCTTCAGAAATTTCATAATGTCTAGTGGATGATAGTCCAACTACTCCAATGAAACAATCCTTACCGATTTCGTAGTTACTTGTGGATTTATATGTCTTTCAGTTCAAGTCAGTGTGTTTTTTGGAGGCATTAGTGATTGTAGATATTATCAACTAACACAATCTTGTGTGCTTCAAAGTGTGGGAGTGCGTTTGTTTTAAAGAGGAGGTCAAAGCTAGTTTACTATCTACAGTTGCCTAAACTCACAACCATTTTTGACTCGCTCATGTAGAAATATATTTTATCATTTTAAAACGTGATGTAGTTTGGTATCTTTGGTAAATAAACTGTCTGTTTGAAATATTGCGAATTTCACAGAGATTGGCTACGGATTACTGGAATAATATGTGGTGTAGGAAGAAAGAAGCTGTCGAATAGCGGGCGAATAAGGATTTAGAGCTGCCTCAAGGCTTCTGGAGCTAGGATGTAGTTTGGATTGGTGTTTTGTATTTGTCATGTGATACTGGTCAACAGTTAGAGATACAATGACAGTAGTCTGAATTTGGTCGTTCAATTTCGGCCTCCTGAACTGCTTTGCACATTGGACTTGTAAATGACTCTCTCTCTAATGTTCATGAAGTTCGCCTTAATGTAGCAAGGATATGTAGTGCTCTCGTTTCCCCAAAGTAATTCGTTTTTGACCATGTCAAATATGACTACACTATGATCACTACTTATTGGTGTGTCTACATGAGCATTCTCAA